CACTCAGCAAATCATGCTGAGTCCACCTCCAAAATACATCTTGAACTCATTCATTCCTCTCCGTCTTTATTGCCACTATTCTAGTCCAAGCCATCCTTTCTTGCTTGGACTTCAGAAATCGCTTCTTAACTGGTCTTCTCACCGCCTTGCTTCCCTCCAATCCGTTCTCCACACAGCAACTGAGTAATCTTTTAAAAATTAAAGTCAGATTATATTGCTTTTCTGCTTAAAAATCTTCGTTGCCTCCCCACTGCATTTAGAATAAAATCTAACTTCTTGTTCTGGCCCACGTGGCCGCATAAGATCTGGCTGGCTCTCTCCAGTCTCATCTCATCCCACTCTCACCACACTCTGGCTACCCTCGCCTCCTTTCTGTTCACCAAGGCTTTCCCACTGCCACGCTTATGCACTTGTTTTTCTTTCTGCCAGGAATGCTTTTCTCCCTTGTTCTTTTTTTTTCCTTTTATTTTTATAAATTATTATTATACTTTAAGTTCTGGTGTACATGTGGAGAACATGCAGCTTTGTTACATAGGCATACACGTGCCATGGTCGTTTGCTGCATCCATCCCCTCGCAATCTACATTAGGCATTTCTCCTAATGCTATCCCTCCCCTAGCCCCCCACCCCCCAACAGGGCCCGGTGTGTCATGTTCCCTTCCCTGTGTCCATGTGTTCTCATCGTTCAATACCCACTTACGAGTGAGAACATGTGGTATTTGGTTTTCTGTTTTTGTGTCAGTTTGCTGAGAATGAAGGTTTTTGAGTTGGAGTCTCGCTCTGTCACCCAGGCTGTAGTGCAGTGGCACGATCTTGGCTCACCGCAACCTCCACTTCCCAGGATCAAGCGATTCTCCTGCCTCAGCCTCCCAGGTAGCTGAGATTACAGGCATGCACTACCACGTGGGGCTAATTTTTGTGTTTTTAGTAGAGACGGGGTTTTGCCATGTTGGCCAGGCTGGTCTCAAATTTCTGACCTCAAGTGATCCACCTGCCTTGGCCTCCCAAAGTACTGGGATTACCATACCCGGCCCCTTTTTTTTTACTTTTTAAGTCAAGTCAAGTGAAGCATTGTGAGTAGGAAGGAACAAAGAAATATATAGCTGGTTGTGATCAATTATGTGTAAACCCCACTGCACTTCGACCAGCCTTCCCTAGTTCTTTGCATGGTTGGCTCATTCTCATCCTTTAGGTCTCATCTCAAATGTCACCTGTCAGAGTGGCCTTCTCTGGCACCCTGATTTAAAATATTCCCCTCTGGCTTCAGTCAGGGAGGCAGAGGTTGCAGTGAGCTGAAATCGTGCCACTGCACTCCAACCTGGATGACAGAGTGAGACCCTGTCTCAAACAAAACAAAACAAAAACCAAAAATAAAATATTCCCCTTCCCCTTACCTCCACATAATTCTCTAATAAAGCACCCTGTATATAAGCACCCTCATAACATTATAGTCCATGATTACCTAAATTATTGATTGGTTTACTTGTTTATTGACTGCCACTCTCACTAGAATATAAGCTCCTTGAGGGCAAGGACCTTATCTGCCTTTTGTGCCACTGTCTCTATAGTGCCTAGCAGTTATTGAATAAATGCACAAAGCCGCTCTTCTTACTCTAAACCACCTTTGCTTGCTTCCCTCTCTGTGACACTGCATATGTCCTGACATTAACCTGCAATGCCTTCCTATTCATGACCAATACACATCCCTTAACTTCCTTCAAAATTTAGTTCAAGACTCATGGCTGGGTGTGGTGGGACATGCCTGTAATCCCAGCACTTTGGAAGGCTGAGACAGGTGGATCACCTGAGGCCACAAGTTTGAGACCAGCCTGGCCAACATGGTGAAACCCTGTCTCTACCAACAAAATACAAAAATTAGCCAGGCATGGTGGCAGGTGCCTGTAGCCCAGCTACTCAGGAGGCGGAGGCAGAGGTTGCAGTTAGCCAACCTGGGTGACAGAATGAGTCTCTGTCTAAAATAATAATAATAAGACTCACAACCTCCCCAAATCTCTGTTGATCACTAGTCTCTCTCCCGTAATGATCCCTTCAGTTTTTTATTCACTAAGTATCAGCTCCTTGGCAATCTTAGAAACAGTTGATACTACATTATCATGCCTTTGCATTTGCTTTGTAATCAGTCATTACATATATGTAGGTATGTATGTTTTGTTCCTTAAGCCCATAAATTCCTTCTGAATCAATATTGCATTACACACCTTTTTTTTTTTTTTTTTCACCAACCCAGTATCTTTTGACTTAAAGCATCACACATCTTTATAATCCTTTTCAAGTACTTAACCAGTGTGGTGCTCACTGCCAGCCATAAAGCAGAAAGGCAGAACTCTGTCTTCATACCTCCAAGGAAATGAAATTAGTTGGAAATTTATTTTAGAAACAGAACAAGAGTTTTAGAGTTCTTCTGAAATTAGAAAAATCAGGCATATTGTTTTCCCCTCTTAATTTAATGAAGAAAAAATCAAAACCGCAGCTCAGAAAACATTTCTGTGCATGACAACTGCAAGAGCTTGGCTATCTATTTAATAACACTTGTGGAAGGGCAGGGCGCAGCGGCTCACACCTGTAATCCCAGCACTTTGGGAGGTGGAGGTGGGTGGAACACCTAGAGTCAGGAGTTGGAGACCAGCCTGGCCAACATGGTGAAACCCTGTCTCTACTAAAAATGCAAAAATTAGCCAGGCATGGTGGCAGGTGCCTGTAATCCCAGCTACTTGGGAGCCTGAGGCTTGAGAATCGCTTGAACTTGGGAGGCAGAGGTTGCAGTGAGCTGACATCGCGCCTTTGCACTCCAGCCTAGGTGACAATTTTTTTCAAAAGAAAAAAAACTTGTGGAGGAATACACAAGATATTACCATGAAATAATGTGAGGTTAGGATTTTAGAGTTAGTTAAAAAAATAAAGTAAAAAATATTTTTGCAGCTTTCAGAACTGTTTGAAAAGTTGTCTGTTTCAAGGAAAATAAAGAGTAATAAACATGAACTATTCACTCTGGGTAAAGAATCTGCCACCCTCCAAACTCTAACCGATTGAGCTACAGATGAGATTTCCATGTGTGTGTGTGTTAAGTGCCATTCTCCATAAAACAGAATACCACACTTTGGGAGGCTGAGGCGGGTGGATCACAAGGTCAAGAGATCGAGACCATCCTGGTCAACATGGTGAAACCCCGTCTCTACTAAAAATACAAAACATTAGCTGGGCATGGTGGCGCGTGCCTGTAGTCCCAGGAGGCTGAGGCAGGAGAATTGCCTGAACCCAGGAGACGGAGGTTGCGGTGAGCCGAGATCGCGCCATTGCACTCTAGCCTGGGTAACAAGAGTGAAACTCCGTCTCATCAAAAAAAAAAAAAAAAAAAAAAAAAAAAAAAAAAAAAAATCAAACCTGAATTTCATCAGGCCTCAAACTACCAATTTTCAGGAAACGCAAGAGGCAGAAGGCTACAATCAGCAAAATGCAGACTGTGGGAAACTACAGAACAAAAGAGAAAAGAAAAACAGGGAAGAAGACCTATATATTAAAAGAAATTTACAAGTCATTAATTGCAACGTGTAAACCTTATTGGATCCCAATTTAAATAAATTATTATAAAAAAAACCCAGAATACCACAGCAGTTGGAAAAGTGAATTATTTTGGTATACTTAAATAGGATAAGGCTCAGAGAGTTTACAGATTTGGCCAGTATGTATTTAACCATAGTTTTATAACTCAGATTAGCAATAAATGCCCAACACATCATTTTTTCTTTGGAAAATAAATTTAATAGGAAAAAAATACTTGCAACATACTGAAGATCTCTCTCTGTATGAGTGTAGGTGTGTGTATAAATTAACAATTTAATGTTAGATATTAATGCATTTTTATTTTTTGAGATGGAGTTTTGCTCTTGTTGCCCAGGCTGGAGTGCAGTGGCGTGATCTCAGTTCACTGCAACCTCTGCCTTCTGGTTTCAAGTGATTCTCCTGCCTTAGCCTCCTGAGTAGCTGGGATTATAGGCGCATGCCACCACGCCTGGCTAATTTTTTTGTATTTTTAGTAGAGACAGGGTTTCACCATTTTGGCCAGGCTGGTCTCGAACTCCTGACCTCATCATCCACCTGCCTCGGCCTCCCAAAGTGCTGGGATTACAGGCGTGAGCCACCACACCTGGCCTTATATTAAGGCATTTAAAAATGCATGGATAGGTGCTATTTGAAAAGTATAGTTATTTAAACTTTACATAGAATTCCTAAGGTGGAACAATCCTCAAATTTGATTTTTAGAGAGTTTGATACAGATGATTAAGCTAAATTGTTTATAGCCAAGTTACATTTTTTGGGGTATGTGTGTCAAATGTTCCATTTGATCCTTTCTAGGCAACTGGGACATCTTTGAGAGTAACTTGACTAAAGAATTTATTTTCAGGGTAGGCTTGCAAAGCAAGTTAAAAAGGCAGAGAATTCAGGCCACTGAACTGTACATGACTTCAATCAGAAGAAGGTCTTTGGGGGCATAATTAAGCCGTCATGGTATAAACTGTCTTCCTGAAACAAGATTTTAAGCCTGGGATGCTTCAAATTTCAAAAAAGGAGGATGATTCTACTACAATAGTGATAGCTTTTAAATGTTCGATATTTTTATTTAGTTTCTAATGAAACTAAATATTAAAATTTTATTTAGTTTCTGATGAAACTAAATAAAAATATCGAACATTTAAAAGCTATCACTATTGTGATACACATCACTGAGTGGTGTGTACACTCAGAAGTCAGCAAAAATTCGAGTTCAAGAAAGATTGTATTGAGGCCGGGTGCAGTGACTCACACCTGTAATCCCAGTGCTTTGCGAGGCCAAGGCAGGAGGATTGCATGAGCCCAGGAGTTCAAGACCAGCTTGGGCAACATAGCAAGACCCCCCTACTCCCACCAAAAAAAAAATTAGGTGTGGTGGTGCGCACCTATGGTCTCAACTCTTGGGAGGCTGAAGCAGGAGGTTATCTTGAGCCCAGGAGTTGGAGGCTGCAGTGAGCTATTATTGTGTCGGTGTACTCCAGCCTGCATGACAGAGCAAGAACCTGTCTCTAAAAATAAAACAAAACAACAGATTGTATTGGGAAGTCTCAGGTCAAACTAAACAAAACTAGGCTGATGTTGGTTTGTGCAAGCTTTGCATTAAGTACAAGTGACCCGGTGGCTCTGCTCACAATGTGGCATCCACTCAGCCACGTCAATTACATGTTGCTTTGAGATGTTAGGACAATGCCCTTTCTTTGGTGTTATGTTTCTATTCAGAGCATAAATTGTACATTTTATCACTGCTAGACTCTGATTACAAAATCTCATGGAATGCCATCATGACACACTCATGTTGGGAAACCTTCTCATGGTGCAGGAGTTCATGGGGACATCAGTGTGGAGATTTGAGGTGGTGCATGACAATACTGTCTCATATCCCAGAGCAGCAGACAGCAGCAGCTTCTCCTCCCTCCTTAGGTGCCCGGTTAGGAGGCTGCAGTTATCTGTGATTGCAACACACCGTCAGTGCACTTCTAGTTCCATTCCATTTTATAGAGTTGGTTTTTTAGACTTCAGTTTTCTCATTTTGAAGAACTTCTTTAATTCTCGTAATTCCTGGGGCTGCAAACTCTGATCGACTCCTGGGGTCAATTTATAGCTCAGTGGAGACAGAATGTAACCATTTTGATAAAGACAGATTCTCTTGCAGAACTCAAAAGTGCTAAACATAATTCCAAAATATGGAACTATCTGTTAAAACAGAAAATGAAAATCAAGTTAAATTCTTAAAAAGAAAACAATGTGTCTGCAGTCAACTTGGATTAGGGTAAAGTGAGATAATGGCAGTGGCAATACAAATGGCAACTGTTTTTGGAATCAGAGAAGATGGCAAAAGGAAAGCTGGTCCAGTGTGGGTTGGTAGAGGAATGACAGTGATTGAAGGGGATGCCCTGCCTGGGAGGTACTGGATCTGGGTCATATGCACGCAGACGATCTAATACTGCCTGCCACGATATGCTGGCCTTGACTGGAATCATTTACATGCCAGCTAGTGCAAGGTTAGTCCAGAGTACTTAACCATTTTTTTTTTTTTTTTGGTCATGGAGTTCTTTGGGAATATGATGCACATACGCATATACACATACATTTTTGCATAGAATTTTAGGATGAGGGGTTAGGTTCCCCTTAGGGGCCCATGAACCTCCACATTAGGAATTTCTGCACTAAATGCTCAGCTCCTCTGGAATGTGGTATAAGATACTCCACCATTACACATGTTCCCCTCTCTAAAGAGCTGACAGTGTGCATTCATTGGCCTTGTGCTACCCGTTAGTGCTAGAAGGGGTTTTCCAAGCTAACTGTGATGGGGGATGACAAAAGAAGAGGGTAGAATTGGAAGAGGCAGAGGAGCAGCAGAGACCGGTAGCTCTTCTTACCTTCAGTAAATTGGCTGTTAATCCATTCCAGAGCCCCAGGACCCCTTGGGCCTTCACTATCTGCCGGAAGCAGTCCACTGCTCCTGAGAAATGGACATCTACTCCTCCACTGTGTGGGAGGTAGGGGCTCTGAGCCTGGCAGGAAACAGAAGCTGGGATGAGATGATTGAAACACCAGGAAATAAATGTCCTAGTGGAAGAAGCCAGGGTTTCAAGTCTGCACTCTAGATGTTGTGCTCCTGGCCAAGATGATAGCAAAGAATGGCTGCCGTGGGGTTCTTCTTGTTCTGTGGGCTTAGAATGGATATTAACATGCAATACAATCATGATACCCTGTGCACATATTTGTGGTTTATTTTGCCTGGAAGGAAGCAGACATTTGGGACAGACTCAATTTCATACTTAAAGTCCCTCCCAACCTATGCCTTCTGGACATGATAAACATACTCCCATGCCCTTAGCCTTTTTACAGTAGTCTCCTGTTTCCTTGTCTTTACTGGTACTTCCTCTGTGAAGCTCCCAAGCAGAGGCTGTTCATTTCTCCACATCACAGATGTGACAGCATAGGTGGCATTCTTCTCACACTCTATTGCTGTTCCCAGACCCTTCCTCCTTGACTCTGATGACAGAAGCACTTAGCTGGGGCTGATGTCACTGAACCATACTCCTTGTCCTGCTATTATCTCCTAATCTGGCCACTCTTCCACATTCATTGAAGACTGTGACACCTGGTAGCTCACCCTCTCTGAGCCTCACCATCATCTTAGGTAACTTTGGCATCTATAAAGATGACCCAGCCTATGACCAGTTTCTGGCCCTCGGCTTCAGTGATCATCACCTTTATACCACTTTGGCTATCCCATGGACATCATCACCACCTTCAGAGCCATCCTGACCAAACCCTGTTATTACCCAAATGCTCCATCTCTGAAAGGAATGTTTTATCCTTTATTATTATTATTTTTGAGACAGAGCCTCACTCTGTTGCCCAGGCTGGAGTGCAGTGGCATGATCTCGGCTCACGGCAACCTCTACCTCCTGAGTTCAAGCG